TGCTCTGAGCAAAATCTTGGGGTGAAACTGAGCAGATGAATTGCGCTGCATAGAAAAGTGCTCTCTATTATTCATGAAGCTAAAATGGCGCCAGTAGAGATACAGAAGGATGTTGCAGGTTCTCAGTAAACGTCGTCTTTCACGGTTTTAAATTGCTTCGTAGCACTGTTTGACATTTCAGTGTGATCACCATTTCTTTCCACCGTAATAATTATTTTATTCCATTTAAACCCAACCCAATCAGAATCCAACTGACTTCAAAGCACGCGAACGTTTGAGGACAAAACTGCAGTGTGAGCTAATTTACAGAACTATCTTAGGCCACACGAATGGATTGGCTGCTTCTCTTTATAATTAGGCTACTCTTCCAAACTGTCGAAATGAAACTGTAGTGTTCTTTGATATGACCGCTAACTTCACCTAATTGTCTGCACTAATTCCCTTCTGCCCCATGTACTAGAGTCATGACCTTTATTCAGGAGACTGTGTCATGTTTCTCAAAGCTGGACTCTTCCTATTGCTCTCAAGAGAGTTTATGTGTATGCGTACTTATGATTTAGGACTGAGATCCACCAAATGAAAGGAAAGCTGTTGTTTTGTTAACATTTAGAAAACTTTTTCAGCACGTTTATGTTGTTATTTTATTATTTTGTTGTTGTAGCACACTGGCTCTGAATGAAACAAATTGCTAATAAATAAGCTGTTCTTCATTGTTAAGGGCTGTGGATAGACAGGCTCTAAAAGCTGCCAGGGCCAAGCATATCCACAAACTCATAGAAAATAACCAAAACAATCCAAGGTTTTTATTTAGCACAGTGGCTAGATTAACAAATAACCAGACGCCACCCGATCTAAATATTCCCTCACAGTTTAATAGTAATGACTTTATGAATTTCTTCACTGATAAAATAGATAACATCAGAAATACAATAACAAATGTAGATTCTACAGCGTATAAAAAGCATTTTCATTTTATGTGAAAAAGCATAATAGGACCCCTTTAAGCAAAGAAGAATTAAAGCAGCACTATGTAACTTTTCGACCCGACCAGGCTACAATAGTCCAAATATAAGTACTTATTATAAGTGTACCGTAGTGATTCGGTATAAAACAAAACCGCGGTTTGGAAGATGAATTCATGATATCGCTCATATACATTTTGCAAATTTTGAACACAGAAAAAGTTACATAGTGCTGCTTTAAAGATCTACCCATGGGTAGAGTGCGAACCAACTGCAGGGTAAGGCTAAAAGTAGCCTAATGTTAATGTAATGTACGCTATAAACTACACACATCATAAACCCGCCTGTTTAGACAAGTACCTGATATGATGTCAGGAAATATTTTAATATGACTGAATTTGTATTTAAAGTGATGACAACTCAATAAAAGCATTCTAAGTTGCAAATTATTACGCTTTAATTCATATAGTTATTCAAACAGCGAGTAAATTATGGAGAGAGCGAGCAAAGAACATTCGCATTAAAGAATATTATCACTGACTTCAGTCTAGCCCAGGGGTCTGCAACCTTCAACATCAAAAGAGCCATTTTGGCCCCTTTAAAATTCATGTGGAGCCACAAAACCTATTTGATCCCTAAAATGAAGATAGCACAGCATATAGCTAAAGTTTTATATTCAGTTATGTTACAGGGCAGGGGTGTAGCAATCATTTCAGAAGTGAGTGAGACAGAAATGTCAAATATAATAATAATAATATTTATGAATGTTTGTCTAATTGACCAAAAAAAAAACCTTTTTCTTAAGTTATGTCTTACTTTTAACTGGCTAAGAAATAAAATACACTGCTGGACAATAACCAATAATTTATAGGCTATTCTATAATATTTTTGATACATATTTTCCTAATTACAATTTTATGATTATGATTGTTTTATATACTACAAACACCTTTTCCATTTTTATCACAGAATAAGGCTGAAAAAATATATGTTATAGCTTCTGTACTGTAATATATGTTATGTCAGTTAGCACTGTATCATTCATATACTTTACCTGGAGAAGACTAGAAAAACACGCATAAACCATATATTGTCGCAATTGTTTATTGTCTTCACATTTCATTAGTTATGGTTTATGCTTGTTATTCAGCTCAGCTAAAGTGATTGCTGGATACCTTTGGATTTCCTGCACGTCAAAAGTTATTACTACTTCTAGAAGTCTGTTTTGGACTTCTAACGCGAGAGCGCCCTCAGGCTTCGAGTATGAATGAAACATACACTGCAGGAGAGTGTTGAGTGCTCCATCATGTTCACAACTTTTTTGGATACGAATAAAATGTATCCAAAACGATGTGACTATCTTGTCTCTTTTAATTTGAATCTAGATTTATTCACACTGGCACTTGAAAACGTCTGCGTGAACACACTTGCCCGAAAAAAGTGCAAGGGAAGAGTTTAGGTTTTATTAAAACTCCGGGGAACACATCTCCAGCACATTCTATGCCCATGCTACTGGGAGCCACCGCGGAGGAATGAAAGAGCCTCGGATTGCCGACCCCTGGTCTAGTAGCCAGAGATTAAGCACTCAAAATTCCTGTTATAATCAATGTAGCTGTCCATACACTGTATGATAAATGAATCTCTTACTTATGTAATTCATTCATCTGCACTTTGTTGCTTATGATGAGAAAAATTGCGAGATTCATTTAGCACGCGATGACTAATGTGGACGCCTCTGATTTGCCATTGTGTTCATAAACTCACCAGAATCGTGTGTGATTGGTTATAATGTGCAACGCTGTAAGAACGCGTAAAAAATTGTGATGCGACATGAGCAGGTTTAAATTTATTACAGCAATCCACACTTTTCATTTAATTTTCATTTTCATTAGTTTCATGTTTCAAGTATTATCGTTTTTTTTTTTAACCAGGGGACCCACCAAGTTAATTATTTTGGCCTTTATGGGGGGTCCCTTAATGCTTATGGGAGGTAAGCATTAAGCACCCCACCCCCCAATTCGAACTGTTGTATATATCCAACAGAATTGAGTTCTCTTTTAACTGTGAATACGAAAATGGGATTTCCCATTTCTGTAGTGTGCAGCAAGTTTCTTCAACGAACGCCTGGATGTCATTATTTATTACCTTAAATGTAAGTTATTTATAAAGCCGAAAAAGAAAGGAATTCTCGGATGAATTCGTCCTGAATAATTCAGCCTAACATCAACAAGGTTGTGGCAGGTTCTCCTCTGTTCTAATGAATACTTTATTATCATCATCCTGAGCTTCAAACTGGGAAGAATGAACAAAATAAATAAATAAATATATCGAGGGCAAGCTTCAAGAGCGCAATTAACACACAAGCCGATCGCCTAAACGTTTATGCGAATATATAGGCCTATATATATAAGCCTGCATTTATTTGATCCAAAGTACAGCAAAAGCAGTAATGTTGTGAAATATTTTTTACTATTTAAAATAACTGTTTTCTATTTGAATATATTTTAAAATGATTTCTGTGATCGAAGCTGAATTTTCAGCATCATTACTCCAGTCTTCAGTGTCACATCCTTCAGAAATCAGTATAATATGTCTAATATGTTTCTTGATTTGCTGCTCAAGAAACCTTTTTTAATTATTATTATTATTAATGTTTTTTGAGCAGCAAAGCAGAATATCAGAATGATTTCTGAAGGATAGTGTGACTGGAGTAATGATGCAAAAAAAATTAGCTTTGAAATCACTATAAATTACATTTTTAAAAACGTGTAGGGGGGGGACGTGGTTAAAAGTGGGGGGCGGGGAGGGACACGCCCCCCGCGTCTCCCGCGTCCCCCGCGTAATCTACACCCCTGACCGTTTCAAATATCTGAGACGATTTCGCTAAAAAAAAAAAAAAAGAATCTTAAACCGGATACATTTAATGATGGAGTGACACAAATGTCTGTGCCACTTATCTGGACCATGGGGATTTCAAATGATCAAAAATGAAAAGAGTGAGAGGTCAACATGTCTACTTCATTCAGAATTTGTTAAATCATAAGTTACTTCACTTCTCTCACCAGGGGTTAGGATAAGACTGTCAAAGGCAATTTGTCTTTCTTCGTAGTTGGTTTTAAAGAGCTAGCATCTTGACAGGCTGAGTTTGCTCATGTCGCAGGTGGCTCTAAATGGCACCAATCCCGTATTGACAGTATGGCAAGCCATTTTAACTATGATATGTTTTTGCTGCTACTAATAGTTTTTAATTACTAGAAAGTAACCCAGTAATGGATATATTCTTCCCAATTGCACTAGTAACGATTCATTAAACACTCATACTTATACCAATTTGAACTGGGAATCTTGTGGATCAGATTTCAACTATTCACTTCCTGCTCTTCCAGTTGTTTCTGATACCCATTCCAGTTTTACTAGTAACTATTTATAATATTTTTTCTTTAGTATGAAAATAGATACTAGTGTCTATAACATTTTTATTTTAGTACTCATTAAATATTCATTATTGCATATTTATTTGATGTGTATTGAATTTTTACTACTGACATTTAAATCTTACTGACAAGATTTTTAGTTAAAATATGAATTTTCCATTCTGACTTGTCATTATAAGTAAACAGCAAGTTAAATGCAACTAATGTGATGAGAAATATTGCTTATAACAATTAGCATAGATGTCTCATAAATAGGCATCTAATAAATAAATATATATACATACACACAGCATATATATATATATATATATATATATACACACAGTATATATATATACACAGTATATACAGTATATATATATATATATATATATATAAAGTGACATTAAAATAGTTAGTCACTACTGGATTACTAACTGGTGATTAAAAATACTAATAAAACTAATACTAATAAAATAAAAAAATATTTTAATAACATAAAAACAGATACTAGTTAGTTTTAAGGGATAAATGTTAAAACAACTTGCCCTATCAATCATACTACGACTTTTAGGAGTACCATTGAGTTAACAGTTTAAGACCCCTTGAGTATTTATATTTGTCATAACTGAGTGATTATAACTACCAGTCTAAAAGACATTGTGTGGAAGGGTTCAAGTTACTGATGTATGTAAAATCATGTTGTGTGATTCCATTGGGAAAAATGTCATTTCAAACAATAAATGCAACTGAATAAAACAACCCTAGTGACCAACATGCTCTTGGGAGAATTTCAGCACCACGGACAGCGAACATCTGTGTTTTTTTTCCCCCACAAAATGACTCTTTATTTCTGGGATGTGAGATCAGCAACTGAGACTTCCGATTGGGGGAAATCTGTGTACGGTGCTACTATACAGCAGTGATTACTTTCTTTTACACAGACAGAACCAGATTTTTTCTTAAGAGAAAAGGTGCCAATCTACGTTGCTGTGTTGGTAAATCCTAAATATAAAGTTCATCAGACTTTCAGGAGGTCTAACAACAGCTTACAGAATGAAACTAATAATTAAGACATTAGCACGATTAAATTCCAAACCTAGCGTGTGGCTTTTGTGATGGCTCAACTATTCAGTTTGGTGCAACCAAAAAGTATGGGGGGAAAAAAAGTGACATAGTTATGAAGTATGCTGAGAGGAAGTAATAGGCCCTGAGTGTTCATGATAGTTATTCTGTGAGGAAATGGTTTCAGTCCATAACTCTGTGGAGTTGCTAAAAGTTTGGTTTAAGTTGGTGTTCCTGAATAAAGGATCGTGAAACACACCGTCAACCCAGTTTCTAAGAGTGGCCACTGGAGACTCTTGTTTCCTCTTTGTTATGTCTGAGTCACAGTTTGAAGAAGAGCACGACGTTCCTTTATGCATGCATGATGAGTAATCAGCTTGATTTAACGACGTAGCAGTCTGTGCAAGCGACCAGATTTTTGGCTTGGTCTCAATGGTCTTTTGGCCTTGTTGAAGGTAGAACTTTGCTGTCTGGTTGTCTTCAGTGGTAAGTCTTAAGCGGTCTTCACTAAATTCATGGACATCTCTCGGGAGCTCGGTAACAGATTCGTGAAAAGTCTCTTTAAAATGGTTATCTGGACATTCGCTGGTCTCTGAATGAACGTGCATGACAAAGGATGGTTTCGATTCGCACTCGGAGCCATCTGATTCCACTAGATCGAAGTCTTCCAGATCGCTGTGTAGTTGATCTGCATCATCCTTTCCATGGTTGTCTGGAGTTATGAAACAAATATTTAAACAGAGTATAAAAACATATATACAACAATATAATATAACACCAAAGGACGGTAACTACAATGATAACTATAAAGTTTTAATAATTGTAATTCTATGAGAATAGGGAAGTTGACAAGTCATATTCCAAACTTCCGAAGGTTATCATTCATGGTGTGTGAACGGGCCTGATATGTCGAACTCTTAACTGCAGCGCATACAGAAGTGGCATTTGTGTACTATAACCAATCAACAACAATTTGCTGAAGTTCTATATATCGCTATAGGCTATAAGCACAATTTGCATTTCAAACCAAGAGTAACATCAAAAAGCTTTCAACAAACCACTGAATTCTTGTTCGGTTTTTATTGGCTCCCCCTGCGATTCGTCCATATCTTCTTGGTCGTCGTCACACTCTTTCTCATCTGAGGTCTTGTTGCGCGGTGACCACGTCATCTTGTTTTCCTTCTTGAGTCTTCGCCGTGCGTTGGCGAACCAGGTGGACACCTGCGTAAGGGTCATCTTAGTGATGATGGCCAGCATGATCTTTTCACCCTTGGTGGGGTATGGGTTCTTTTTATGTTCCTGCAGCCATGCTTTCAGTGTGCTGGTGGTCTCTCTGGTAGCATTTTTTCTTCTTGTGCCCACATCTACAGATCCATATCTAAACAACATGACAAGTAGTGTATTTGTTTAAAAATTGGATGCAGAATTTTCAAAAACAGCTATTGTGCAAACAGTCCATTGATGCAACAAGAATAACGGTAAGGAGGTTATAATTCTTACCCATATCTGTCATACTGGTACTGTCCAATTGGGTAGTCGTAAGGGTAGTATGCAGAGCTTTGGGTGACTCTTGAATGTCCTGTTGCCACTCCATCTTTCTCACGGAGTTTACCCTAATATGAAAAAATGAAAAATTAAATAATTACAAAAGAGCTCTGTTACGATACTAATGATTGGGAAAACTTTCTGTTCATCCTTAAAAAATATCATATATTTTTATTGAAATGAACCAATGAAATGCATACCAGTGGATAATATGAGGTTGAATCTGGACCATAAGTGCTGCAGGTATCATAACCGTGACTCTTTGAACAGGAGTTGCCATAGACAGCAGGAGGGATCAGGTCATGATGGCTGGAGGCCACAAGCCTACTTTCATATACAGGGCAATAAAGCGAGTTTTGAGGAGAAGCTGCCACTCCAGAGTCCAGCAGTGAACCACTAGACTCATAGCAAGCGCTCAGAGTGTTAGAAGACATTAAAAGCTGCCAAAGAAAGGACAAAGAAGCTTTAGCATGTCCTTGAAAAGTATGGAACACTTATTTCTGCATTTTGACTATTAAAGGGATAGTTCACCCAAAAATGAAAATTTGATGTTTATCTGCTTACCCCCAGGGCATCCAAGATGTGACAAAGGTGACTTTGTTTCTTCAGTAGAACACATTTGATGATTTTTAACTTTAACC